GCGCCCACATTCCCAATCAATGTGGGTACCACGTCTTGTCTATAGCATTCAGTTCCTGAATGTTTCCATGAAAACTCGGTAATGAAGTTGAATTAGTTCATCACGAATTAAAATTTAAATGAAACCAATCTCCATTAACTGTTATCTCTTACAAAACAAATATTACGCTGAAGCTGTGCAAATATCGATTTCTCGTTCAAAGCTACTGAATGATTGGCCATCCCTCAGGAGGAATGGACATGATTTCAGATCCACTCCCGGCATCGAGGCGGTCGTGAACTTGGGCGCGACATAGTGACGCCACCAGGATGCGCATATAAAGGGCCACTGGGACTCTTCGGCTCACTTGTTTTTCAGCAGCCGAAGCGGAAGGACGATTTCTCGCTCTTCTTTCTCCTGACGCGCACACGGTCTTCTCTTGCGCTATGTCTCCCCCCGCTCCCCTAGCGTAATCTTTCTCATCCATCGGTATTCCCTCGTAGCCACTCTTGGCGTCTCGCTGTTTCCTCTCGCTGGCGTATTCGTTGGGTAGGGACAACGGCATGGATGGGTGATTAGTTTCGGTATTAATGAAGTGGAAATACTGGTGTGGTTTCTTTTTGGTTTTGGGTCTTTTATCGTAACGGCAGAATAGAGAAGCTGGCATTTCGTGCCTTCGAAAATTCTCTTGGAAAAAGAGGAGAATGGACGATCATTTTATATTCTTGATGGATCAATCACTAACGCGTTTAGGTCCGAATTGCGAGACGGAAAAATGTATTCGCGGGGTCACTTGGAGCTGTAATCCTTCATACCGACATATCGATTGATACGATTATCAATTGATCTGTTTGATCGATTATCAATTGATATGTCTCCATCTAGGTTGGACTTTGTCAACAAATTCAAACCATCCTCATTTCTTAGAAGAAAAAAAAAACCCTGTAGCCAACAACTACGAATCGACTCTTCACCTCAACCATCACTCTCCGAGTATATTAATTTTCGAAGGCAATAAAGAAGACACTTAGTTGAAGAAAAATTTTCGTTCCGATAAATGATTATTCAGAAAAATCAAATCAATCATGGCAATCCCTATATCTCCTTGAAGGTATTTCTCTTTCCCCTGCGGATTTTTCTCTTCCCAGGAAGACTTATAAGGCGGAATTCGTTCATAGCGTAGCATTCATTGTCATTAAACCGCTGTAATTCCTCTCACCATCATCTTATCTCGTCTGATCAAGGTGAGCCGAGTTCCCTCTAAATGTGCCCTCACTTCTCGAGGCGAAAGCGCCTAATGCTCCGGGATCTCGGATGGGGCTTGCAACATAAACACACGGGTTTGAAACCCGAGTCCCCAGCCGTGGGGGTGAAGAACCGACCGAGCCAGATCCCGGCCGCGTTTAACTCTCCCACACGACGTCAAGAGGATGCGCTTTCCTGAACTCGTCTTCCGCGCACGTTAATGAGGCTGCTTATTGCCTTGTCCGACTTGACGAAAATCGAGATTCGGGTAAGAAAAGACCGAAAACGGATCGATGCAACCAGCGGATCGATGAGAACAGGCAAAGGTTGAAGGAAATTTCCGTGGGATCATCTGTAATTTATTCGCCGATGAAAGAAAATTGGCATCGGCACACGTTGATGGAGCGCCGTCGTTGAAAGGACTAGGCAGGATTCTGATGAGGGGGGAAAGGGGGATAGAGGGGGGGACGACGGTATCAATTTGCATGGAATGGGGTACTTTAATTCGACAATTTCCCCGGGAGGATGAGGAACAACCGGGCATTATCGCGTGGGAATGCGAACGAATGGGACCGTGTCGATCAATCCGTGGATGGTCAATCAATGATATTAATATGTTGCAGTCACCAGAGTTGGCCATTCACCAGTACTCGTCGGAAAAGGGTGTGTTGGCGGGGGGAGGACTGAAGTTCGCATAATGTTACTCTGCTTGGTGATGGCGGCTTTCGTCCTGGTATCGGTGACTAAGGCAGGTCGGAATAAATTTTTATTCTATATATTAGATAATGGGAGAGAGATGTTCTTAATCTTTAGAAGGCGAGATGGCTCTAAAATGGCGATGGATTCGACTGTTAAAAAAATATTACTGTTAACCACAGGGAATTCGTACGTTTTTCGAATTTCATCTGTTACTCTCATAGACGTCCAATCCACTACATTTCACCTGCTGAAGCAAGACGCGAAACTGTGGCCCCTGGCCGGAACCGGGAAAGATTGGGTGAAAACGAGGAACGCGGTGGATTGCGGCTCCATCTGCCATTCCCTTCGACCGATTTGCAATGCATTCAACTGGCATCCTGGAAATTTCACCTGTGAGTTTGTGAAAACTCCGAACGTCACGTTGCAAGATGCCCCTGGTGCAATGGTCTATGTCAATTGTGAGTTTACATCAATTCAATTCATCGTATTAATATTTCACATTCATGATTTCAATTTTAATTTTCTCATTTGATCTCTGCAGCATCCAGCGTCTGCCAGACACCGCCTCCTCCGATGGAAAATCGAACGCTGAATTTCTCTTTCGGATGGAACGGTAGCCTCCCCGCACCATTGCTCTCCGAAGTCTCGTATGACTGCCCACGGCATTCCCGTTGTCCACCTCCTCTCCCCCTCAAGGCCAAATGCGTCGGCTTCAACGCTTGGGAAATCCTGAATCTGAACGTCACGCCACCCTGCCCGGGAACCGGTGCGCTTCATTCCCAGTGTTGAGATGTATTTCTTTGACATTCCCGTGTTTAAATTATTATTTCCATATCAGCTCCTCTGTCACAAGGCTACCGCCTGTTTCTGGAAGACGGCCGGTTTTACAAGCGCTACCCAGGGCCAATGAACAGGACCGAGGCGAGCCAGGTCTGCTGTCTTGATGGAGCCCGACTCGCTTCCGACACGAACGTGACGGTCTACTCGGCGATCAGAAGTGTCGCCCCCAACACCACCGAGGCCATCGTTCAAGGCGCCACCGACGAACTCGTGGAAGGCACGTGGATATACGAAGACCCAAGTGAGTCAAAGTCCATCATATTCGGTTTCCATCATTGAGAGAATTATTTGAAATCGGCTAATATGAAAATGTTCCTTTACATCATCCGCAATATCCTACCGCCTGCGGTCCGACATCACTTAATATAGGCCAGGGCGCCGTCAAGCTAGATCAATTTCATATTTAGAGCGTTTGTGTAGGCAGCACTTTCTCACATTCTCGATCATTTGCTATACTGTCAGAAAAAAATGGCCTGGAAAGAATAATGATGCAAATTATTTACCCTTTAAAACCCTTCCTATCAAACCAGTTTTCATTATTTCAAGCTCTTGCATCCCCTGTTTACGTTCCCTGTCGAAAATGTCGTAATAGCTACTTTGCATAAAATTATGCGAAACGTCACAAATTCCCCACAATATTCATTCCTTTCGTATCGCCCAGGCTTCCTTCAGGTGAACAACACGCCGATCACACCCTATAACTGGTGGGGAACGAACTCCAGCCTCCCGGTGGGCCAGCAGAAAGCCCCGAACGGAGGACGAAACAAGAATTGCCTCATTCTCTTGGGAGTTTACTGGTTCGACATCCCTTGCGCTACGAGGCTCCCATTCGTCTGCCAGTATTATTGAGCTCGGACGGAGGATGCTCTTCTCACATCGATATTTTCTGATAATCGATTCTTTTTCCTTGGAATTTTTTGCTTGTCTGGCGAGCAGAATGGCAAGATTTGGGACTTTCTGTCCAGGTCCAGCCTCCCATCACCTCATAAAAATACGCATCTCGCATCGATCTGATAGTTCTCCCCATGCTTCTTCAAGGTTCAAGTAATGCAAGTGATGTACACGCCAGACTTGCAAAACTCTCCTTTTGGCTTGGCAGTTGCACGTGCACTCTGATTTCATCGGACACGAAATCTAATAATAGAAGAAGGGTCATTATTTGCATTGTTCGAGATTAGCTTAGTTATTAGCTCGTTGTTTTTGGTGCATGAGTTTTTAATTTTCGAGTTGGAATTCTGAGAATTATTTAAGTACCATTAATGGGGTATGACGAAAATTGCTAAACTTGCAATGATTGGCATTTGCTATTTTCTTCTCACCTGTGATTCGGCCAATTTCTACTTCTCTGAATAAACTCTCTACTCTGTCACTAAAATTGGGCAACCAATGACTGAAACAAACAAGAATCGACTTTGTTTCCGTTTAGGAAGGCTTACAATTTGAATTGTGACGATTTCTTGATTTTTTTCTTTTTCTCCGGGAATGAAAAGATAAAAAAATGAAGAATTGAACATATCACGTATCTGTGTTCTGGAAGTTGGAAGATAAACAAACAAATAAAACATAAATCATCATTAAAAATTAAACGCTTTCAACGAAAATGGATAAATATCCCAGATGGAAATTTGTCTGGAATCAAGAATCGCGTGAAATATTTGACAACATACTGAAGAAAGGACGAAGAAACTCTGTGATTCAGGAAGATCCACGACCAAGAATCGAATATCCAATTTGTGGCTCGATGAGTTGACGAACGTGGGAGTCTCCGGCGAATCGAGGGCAATTCCGGGGGAATTGGCTTCGATGAGAAGTTTGATGCAAAAAAGCGAAAAGAGAGTTTGATATACTCATGTCGATTCCTCTCAGGTACCAAGAACCGAGGCTGAACGTCCCGCGTACACAGAGCAAATAAGACAAATTCAGTATACGATGAGCAGTAAACAATACTCCGCTTGGGCTTGGCCTTGGCGCGTGTACATGGGCTTTCAACAAGTATATCATGTTTAATGGAACGGAGGCCTGCGTGCCTGTTCCGTTCTGAGATATAAATATCGGAGTTTGTCCTTGAGATCACTCCGACTACAGACTGCCTTCCAATCTCCTACATGCTTCCATCTCGCGAGCGTCGAGAATCAGCCAAGATTTTCCTGTGAGTAGCTGACAATATCGTCTCTGCGACAGGAATTTGGTGTTTGTGTGTCTGAAGGGTCGATGTTGGGTCTTCCTTTCTGTGAAGGATGGTGGTTCGTCAACAATTACCAATAGAGAATCGCAAACCTGATTTGCGAGAATTTATTTTATTTGCTAAGGAAGTATTTGTTATAATTTATCGGATTTTTCCCAAATCAAATGTCTATTCTTCCCCTCAAAAAATGTTTTTTCATAATATAGAAACATAGGAACTAGGTTGTTTCTGCCTAATGATAATTCTGTACGTCTCATGCATACACAAATACTTTCTACACTTAGCAAAAAAGCTTTCTGAGCAACTCTTCGGCCAAAGGAAGCAACAACATCATCAGACGTTTACAAATTTTCTTTTTGCACATGGACTTATGAACATTTTTCATCAGTTAACTTTATTCAGGTTAGATTTAAATTTGGAAACACCAAGAAGCAACGATTCTGTACCAGTGTACCTACCGTTTTCATTTCAGGCCTGAAAACAAGTCGAATAAGTTGTGCATCAATATGAGGGGAATTCCGTGTCTCTTGTTTTCAGTGATCCTTTTAATCAAGTACGGGTCTGGAAAAGTAAGTCGAATTTCATCCGTTATCAAACTCTCCTACCGGCATTTAATAGTATGGTGATATACGCCTCCCGCTTGTGGATTTCCGTGAAGAAGGGCATGTATGACTTTCGAAATAAACTAAAGGTGGACAATTGTAATGAAGACATTGGAAAATGTCATATTCAATTTCTTTAGATCTAAAAGACATTTTAAGAGACCTAAAAAAAGTATAAACTTGGGAGTAGAAGTACCTGTTGGATTGCTAAGTGCATATCCTACTTTTCAAATGAGACCCCTCAGGACAGATTATGAAGAGATTTGAAGTTAGGGAAATGAGAAATAATTGGAATAATTACTTCGATGGATATATCAGTTCGTTTTCTCTCAGGACAAGTTTTGACATGCACATAATTTTAATATGTTTTTGCCGCTTTAAAAATAAATGGATGAATGAATCACTAACCTGGACAAAGGAGCGCCGAATGCGTGACCATAGCGAGTTTGAAATGCTTTTCATTGCTTTGCTTTTTGAACATTTATGTAGTTAACATGAAGTTCCCAAGGACATTAATGAAACGCTGGCAAAGACTTGAATGAAACGTTCATTGAACGCGTTCGGGTCCTACTCGGGTGGTGGCCTCTGAAGATCATTGTGAATCCTTCCACGACAACAGAGTATTTCCTTTCCTCCGGTTTACAGCAGGTTTTACTTTCCACTAGTATATTTAGTCCATCTTCCATTACCAGGCACTGGAAAGCACTCCCATTCATGGACGAGAATATATTGGAGGCGACTTGGAGGCAAAGGTGTTAGTTCTGTGGAAGGAAAAGGAAAGCCTCAGGAACGACTACATGAAATTGAAGTATGACTTTGAGAACATGAGACGAACTACTGAGAAACTGAGTAATGATTACGAGAAAATGAGAAAAGATCACGAACACCTCAAGTCTAGCTTCCAGGAACATCTCCGGGAAAGAGACGAACTTCAACTCAACACCACAGAAGCAAGACTCCAATATCTGGAGGCTATCAGCCTGCAAATAGGTGAGTGGAGTCTAGATAAATCCCTTCGATCATAATTGTCAACGAACATCAAATAATAAAATATGTTGGAGTTAATGACATATACATGTTTGTTCCGGTATCCATAGCATGACATATAACTGCTAGGAATGTTTAGTTTACTGGACAGCGACTGTCACACCCGTTTCACAAATGAATTACTTATAGTTATTCTTCAAGTGTGGCTCTAACGATGTTGGGAGGATTCAGCGATAAGAATCTTGGAGTATTGAAATTCCCTGATTATCTACGGTTCCACAACACATTGATAACTTAGAATAGAATGGCTCTTGTACTGGGGAAGAAGAATCTTCGCCTGAAACGCGTTCTTTTCGTACAGAAATTCTTGCGAATCACATTTTAGCGCTACAGGTCAAGCCATGCAACGACCTCCATCATGAGCGCCCTTGCCCAACTAGTTTTTTAACGTTCTATGCGCTCTCACGAGCTTCGCTGGTACATGCACAAGAATCAAAGTCTCGCTGGCATGTAACACCGTTTTCGAATAAAAAGAACGTTCTCCGCTAAGTATTATATTTGGTCTTCTGCTGACAGAAACTTCGTTATTATGTGCTGCTCCTTATAAGAAGCTCATTTCATTGCTAGCATCGCCTTATAACGACTAATACGCCCGCATCTACTGGACATCTCAGACAGCGGTGACTGTAGCACTTCAGCCGATTGCATATTCAAGGCAATGATATGACATGCAGTCGTTACCTGAACTGCAATTTCTGTACAAAAGGCTCTATGGTTTCATTATTTCATAAGTCCTTTCTCTGAGGTCTGTTTTTCCAGAAGAGGACGGAAATATATGAATTCATTTCTTACAGCACCCCGAACGTGTCAGACGCTTGCAGACTTGGGGGTGACACGAACAGGAGAATACCTCGTGGATCCTGACGGAGTTTTGATCGGCGATGCACCCATCAAAGTGCTCTGTGATATGGAGTCAGGTAGTTGAAACAAACATTCTTTTTGTCATTCGCAAAAAGAATTTAATCTCTTTTTTTCCCCGGCTCACGCTCTCTCAACTATGCTGCTATCTAGATCCAGTTTCCACGATTGTCCTCCATGATTCGATGGAAAACACTGCGATCGATCGATGTGCTGATCCTGGATGCTACAATCACAACATAAGGTATGGTTCACCGATGAAACAGATGTTGGCATTGATCCAGCAATCGAGGTCGTGCCAACAGCATATCAGAGTGAGTCGATCCTGTCGTCTCAGGACTTTGTATTATATGTCCTTTTATCATGAGACATAGATTACCATTAACAAATTTTCAAGAATACCTACTATCTCATCCTTTCAAAAAATGTGAACCTGAACACGTTAATTGCACAACACGTTGGGCAAGCTCTATCCAGTAGTGGGCCTCCTTTCAGCAAAGGGAAAACCCTCATTTTACGTGTAATTGAGCAAAATACCATCCCATTCCGGTCTTCGACTATCAAAAGCCCATTTCTTATTCATAATTGGCAAACATATGCAAAAGAGGAGGTAGGAGAAGGGAGAGCTTTGTCCGTCTCGCTTGATCCATCCGCCATGCAGGTTGTTAGAGGGAAATGGCTGCTTTGGTTGCTGACACGACTCCGCAACTAAAGCCTTGGCCGCGAGCGAATAGGCATTGTGGTCAAGAACCTGAAGGGCGAACGGGTACTCATTCCATCGCCTCCGTGGCCAATGTTTTGCACAAAAAGTGCCAATTTTTGGGCAAAATTCGCCTAAAAACGAGCCCTTCCGGTATCTTCTACACCTATGTACCCGTTGCACCAATTTTCGCGTTAATCTGGCCAATATCCATTTCATTTATCGTCATACAACCAATGTGTGACACACGGACGGACAGAACAGGACCGCAAGTGCTCCCCTTCTTTTCATAAAAGAAGGTCCACTAAAACGACCAGTTTGCTGCCCTCCGAAAACAAGAGCAACAAGAAGTCTACATTCCGCGTGGCAGTCAATGCGTAAGCATCTTACAAGCACAAAAGAGGCGCATTTTAAGAAAGAAAAATTTTTATTCAACGAAGCAGAGAAAGATAGAAATTTCAAACTTGTCTCAGAGGTACCCTTTCGATTGATGAGTACAGAAAAAAAACGTGCTTATAAAATGCATCGCCTCAGGGCAGATTATTAGAGGGAACTATTTCAATATCTATTTTCTCCTTTGACAAAAGGGCGCATGATGAGATTGGAAGAACGGCAACCAAGAAACTATAGGAATTATGATTCAGATAAAAATATAAAATATCTGATACAATATCGCGCGTATGTCCCCGCATGGCACATACGAGGGTTGATTTTTATTCGTGGGGCCATTATGAATACTTATACTGTTGCAACAAATAGAGTTACAGATGCATCAAATTCCGCATCAAGAATCCATTAACATGGCACATTTATACTCAAGGAAGAACATGTTCCGTGTTTCCTCCTCACTCCCTAATCACTGGTCGTAGAGGAGTGGTGCAATTCTGCATAACAGCCTGCAGAATACTCTGGGAAATGGAGTAGACATTAAGTACTGCAGCCGCCTTCAAGTCTTCAAACGTGCATGGTTTTATCCTTGACTCAAAGACTTTGTCCTTTAGGTATCCCCTGAGGAAATAGCCACATGGATTGAGATTGGGGGAAATGGTGGCCACAAAAATCCACAGCTTTGGATCTCAGGACATTTGGTATGAACGATTCTCATGCCAGAGTTCTGAAGCTGGAAGTCCAACACAACTTTCTCTTTGTTCCCTGGTCACGATCGCAATCCATGAGACTCTCTTGGGATACCGAGAAAAGAAAGATTTCGAGTCAAGGTTAAACCCATGCACGTTCAGAGGCGTGAAGGCAGAGACTAAAGGTGAAGTTTTTATAATTTTCTGGGTACCCAGACATTAGTTGCGTAGAAATACAACACAACCTTACGACCGATGATTGCGCACAGGGGAGGACATATTTTTTAAACTTGTTTTTTCAAATTGAGTATAACTACCAAAGTTCCGGGCATTTAACACTATTTCTTTCAAAAATTGAGAAACTAAGGATTCACAACAGAAAATCCGCAAACCAGAAAAGTGACTATAGAGTACTTCTAACTTTCCATAGTTGTTTATGTTTCCGACTCAGCATTGACCGTGTCTCGTTTCAGTATGACTGTTTTTCCTCGGCCCTCACAACTGGAGTCATACACTATGCATGGTGGGTGGACCGTCACGACGAACCACAATACTACTGGGACGGGTCAAAAGCAGGGCAGCACATATGCAACTGCGGTCTCTCTGGCAACTGCACAGACACAAACTTCCCTTGCAACTGTGATGCAAAACTCCCCCATTGGGAATCAGACTCAGGAGCAATAACGAATGCAACAGCATTACCCATAACCGAGTTGCGCTTCGGTGGACTACAATTTAAGGGACAGAAAGCGAATTACACATTGGGTGGATTGACCTGCAAAGGCAAGATACCGTCCCCGGACAACCCAGCTCAATCCTGTTCAACTCTTCGCCAAGCTGGAAACGCTCATCCTGGTTATTACATGATCGAATCCAAGAAAAGTCGCTTGGATGTTGTTATGTGCAGGATGGATTTGGAGGAGACCGACCCGAAGTTTCAGGTGGAGACTAGTGTACATATTGCAGGGGAAGGTGGTGTTTCTCTCGTAGATGTTCAATCAACTACCTTTCATCTGCTGAAACAAGGCGCGAAACTGTGGCCTCTTGCTGGAACTCGGAAGGATGTAGTAAATGCGATGAACGCGGTGGATTGCGGCTCCATTTGCCATTCCCTTGGAATGATTTGCAATGCCTTCAATTGGTATCCAAGAAATTTCACATGTGAGATCGTGAAAACCGTAAGCGCCACGTTACAATATGCCCCTGGTGCTATGGTCTATGTCAGTGGTGAGCTCACATCATTTCAATCCATCATAATAATATTTTAGCTTCATGAATGTGATTCTACCTTTCCCCTTCCGTCTTTGTAGCATTCATTGTTTGCCTGACACCTCCTCCTTCGATGGAGAATCGAACGATGAATTTCTCTTTCGGATGGAATGGCAGCCTCCCGGCGCCCTTGCTCTCCGAAGTCTCGTATGACTGCCCACGGCATTCCCGTTGTCCACCTCCTCTACCTCTCAAGGCCAAATGCGTTGGCTTCAACATATGGACAATCCTGAATGAAGACGTCACGCCGCCCTGCCCGGGAAGCGGTTGGCGTCATTTCCCGATTTTGAGACATTTTTCATTCAGTCACCAATTTTTAAATACTTGCTTCGATCGCAGTTCCTCTGGCAGAAGGTTACAAATTGTTTCAAGAAGATGGTCGGTTTTACAAGTACTACCCGACGGAAATGAAATGGACTGAGGCGAGTCAGGTCTGCTGCCTGGATGGGGCCCGACTCGCTTCCGCCACGAGCCCCACAGTCTACAAAGCGATCAGAAGTGTCACGGAAAGTGGAATCTGGCAAGGCGCCACCGACGAACTCGTGGAAGGCACGTGGATATACGAAGACCCAAGTGAGTATGACTCCATCACATTCGGTTTCCATCATTAAGAAAATGCTTTAAGTCGGTCAATGTACCATTTTCGTTTTACATCTTTTGCAATCTCATACCGTTAGCGGTTAGGTATCATTTAATGGAGGGCAGTGACGCCGTAAAGCATGACATATTTCATATAACTATTGTTTCTCTATCCAGCAATTTCTCGCATTTTTATTCATTTGCTATACCGTATGAAATAAATGTCATACGAGGAATATTACTGTTTTTCCCAATTGCTAGAGCCCCATTTCATATATTGATGGACTTTTTTCAAAACCTTACCTTAGATTCGCAAACCTCGGCACTCTTTTCTCACATCCATGCGTCCGATAGTCAAAATTGCGTAAAAACTAAAGTGCTCCATTCAATATTCCAACTTACGGGGCTAGGAATATCTGTAGTTAGTCAAGAAGAGACCGTGATAATGTTTCTTCTGAAGAGTCCCATGACATCAAAATGCTTTCCGGGTAAAATATCTCATTAGTAGACAGGAATAAAAGCAGAAATAATCCTTTTAGCCGAGTTTCTCTCATCCATTACGCTCAAATCAACGCCATGCGATAAAATGATTAGTTAAGGACCATTAGCATCCCTTCTTGTCGTAGATTTGTCGCCTATGTATCATGAAAAAAGAAAATAAAAGGACGATAACGTGTAACTGAGTGGAAAACTCCAACTCTCCTGAACCATGTAGATATATCATACTGTACACGTTTATGTCACTGCTTATAGTATGGAAATGAAAATAAATCCACTATAACGAATTGTAAGCCACAATAAACGCAACTTATAATGAAATGGTAGAAATACTTAGGTTTCAAATGGAAGAAAACTTTTTTTCTTGGTGTCACGAAGACTTCTTGAGTCCAGACCGGTTTCTCCTTCTCCTCTTTTTTCCATTTATTTCCTTTTATTTAAAGTGTGTTCATGATTTGCTTCAATTTTTCCATTGATGTCCTTGTTGCACGTATGGGATCGAGAAAACTATGTGAGCTTCTTCCATCTATTGGCCAAGCGAGAATAATCTACAAATCTGCAATTTCTCGATGAATGAGTTTAAAAACTTAACGTACCCATGCCCTAACCGTACTTCCTGTTTTCTAGATTCGATTTCACGCTACCCAAAAGTCGAAATAGAACGTCCGACAATCATTTTCTAACGTGCATAGAATCCAATCTTAAGTCAACTTCGTCAAAACTCTCAAGAGGATCCATTACTGTGAATGCGAAGACGCCGAGTCGCGCGGATCGATGCCCGCCTGATCAGCAGTACAAGGCGAAATCGACCAGAACCTCCTCAATGTCAAACAATGGAGCGCACGTTACTTTTTGAGGCAAGGGCGTTAAGTTTTGACGCGAGTGCGTTAGATTCTTTCTAAAGGACACCAGCAATGTGTTTTATTGGAAAATATGTTTCGGCGAAGGACGCTTGGCACTTATGCCGTATGACAATTTTAAATATAATAGATGTCGCTATATCTGGCCGATGATGCGCTCGTAACAATTTACTAACGTCATTTCTCTGTGATATTTGTTGTGTATTAAATATTTTTATAGTTTTGCGGTTCATGCAATGAGGATTTATCCTCTTGTCCTCAACTTCTACTGTGAAAACTTACACAATCTAAACTCGGTAATTGAGTGGATGTGTATACGGCGGGGGTTTCACCAGTGATCAACCGGGATCAAACCTGCATAGATTAAATCCTGTAAAAACCATCAAACCGCCCATTGAGATCATTTCGCTTGAGATATTTGGACGAGGTGCGGCTTAAAAGCACAAAAACTGCTCCCCCTCCCCTACCATTCTTCCCCTCTCGCCTTCCTTGAAAGGGAAATAGTAAAGTTTAGCTGCACAACAGATCACGATTTCTGCCGGTCGAGGCCATGACTATCTTCCCACACCCAAATATAGTCGGACTGTTATTTTGAGAAGTCACTTAACTTGTGCCGTCATTCAAAAGGGTGCAGGATTTTGTATCCGGTCGAAAACCCCTCAAGGAGCCAAAAGAGCGAGCATAAGTTGGGAAGATTTGGAGATGAAAGCATGAGAGTTTCGCAATGAACACTCTTCTACGAACGAAAATACGTCCCTAGGTCATGTCATTTTTATAAGTTACGACAAACAGAAATAACTATAAAATGACTTTTTCTTTTCTCCTTTTTCAACCGTTTTTAACTGATTTTATTATAACAGAAATTAATTGTTTAAAAAAATACGCAGGATCAGATATTTCAGATTTTTTTGAAAAGCAGTCGGCATTATTGTCTGCCAATTACATTGCAGTATCGACGTAAGAAACTATTTCAACGTTTGAGAAGGAACATTCAGCTCTGACAACTCAGGGCGATAAGGAAACCCCTGGGATTGGTCGGAAGGAATTATAGAGCATAGCAAATGCCGTCGTCAGCCATGCATCCATCGTCCGCACTCGTCGAATCGGTCTTCTTATCCTTTTCCGCACGTAAAGTTTCAAAAAAGGTACGTAAAGATATGAAAATCCCGTTTCGCTTTTCGTACTGTGGGCAATGAAATCGGATGTTACGTTTTGTGGAAAGTATGCAGAGTTTTAGGATCTGTTCAAATAGTTTCGAGAAAAGGACGTTAGCAATTGGGAAAAAATGTAATGCAAATTTTTATTCTATTCAAATTCCATCCTATCAAACCATTTTTTAATTATTTTAGGCTAATGCGTTCCGTGTTTGCGTTCCTTGTCTAAAATGTTTAATAGCTACTTTGAATCAAATTTAGCGAAACATTCCAAAAACCCCACCCCACCATATTTATTCAGTTCCAATCGTTCAGGTTTTCGTCAGGTGAACAACACTCCGATCACAAGCTATAATCGTTGGGGTCCGGGCCAACCGGAGGGAGGACGATGGGAGAATTGCCTCGTTCTTTATGATGCGCGTTGGCGGGACGGGCCTTGCTCCGAGAAGTACCCCTTCGTCTGCCAGTACTACTGAACAGATGCTACTCAGTACTACTCAGATGCAAGTTTCTCCTCGCGCCTCGAAATGTTCTTAAATCGATCCTTTTTCCTTGGAATTTTGCTTATCTCATGAGGACAATGCCAGGATTTTGGACTTTCAGCCGAGGTGCCGCCTCTCCTTTCCTCCCGAAAATAAATCATCTCCCTAGCATCGTCCGGATCATTCTCCCCTTGCATCGACGACGTTGAAGCAACGCAAGTAATTAACTTGCCAGAATCGCGTCACTTTTCTGGCGTTCGCTGTTGAACGAGCAATTTCCTCACGGGTTCCTCTCCTCTTCACTTTTAAATGCTTCGGATTATTGGAAATAATGATTTGTGTATTATTAGATGTTGTCAGTGATTGAGTAAGCTCTTGCAGGCCACCTGAATCATTTCACTGCCGTGAAATTTTCATGCTTTTTTTGCAATTATCGGAATGATGTTCATTTTATTCAACATGCAAGCATCTTCAAGAATACATCGCCGTTACAGAGGCGAAATTGTGGTTTCTCTGTCTATTTCTTCGCGCAAAAAGGCAAAACTCTTTGAACGTGTTCGTTTTCTTGCGACTTACCCCAATGTATAACTTGACTGGCATTTTGCCAGTATCGGCTGACATGGCCAGCATTGGCTTTCATGGCCAGCTGTCATTACCTTCGGGATAGTGAAAACAATGAAGATGAGTATTTATGCAGCACTTCTCCTTATTAGAGGTAGATTCCCCTGAATCTCTGATTCCTCATCAAAATGTTCAGTCGTTTGTTGCCTCGTGGCTCTCTCTTTCGTAGTCGGACTTGAATGGAGGCTGCGGAGGAAGAAACCAGATGGCGCTGACTTCCAAGTCGCCCTTCATGTTGCACTCGCCTGTCGCAACATCAACCGGCTGCCCTTTCTCGTTGCCACCCCTGGCAACGAGAAAGGCCAGTCGGTTCTCAAGGTTTCGAGGAAATTATCTTTCCGGATGCTGAGTCATAAACGGAAATTGTGTCTTTCCTTATTAAGGGCACGAAGGTAGATTTTTCTGGCTTTAATATTTCAGGGAGAAGAGCAGAATTCCCAGGATTGCCAGGTAATTGATTTCCCGTTTTCGGGAATTCCTGGCCTTGAGTTTCGCTATGTCCCCGGCTGAACCGAGAGATCGCCCTGGCTCCTTTAGCCTGATATATTTTTTTCGACGTTCAAGTGTTGCACGGCCCGTAGGCTCTGGCTTAACCGAATTCTGGTTTGCATAACGTACTTTCCTCGCGCCGTTCTTGATGCTTGGTGCTTGGAACTTGGAATTCGTATTGGCGATGCGACCGGGCCAGAAAGAGGCCCATCTGCTTCTCGAGAGCGGGATGAATTATTATGTAGTAGAGTAGTTGTGAAAATTGACAAGATTATAATGGGTGTAAGTGTTTCAGGTGGTTTCGATGTGACCTTCCATGTGGTTTGGAGAACTTAAAATAAATTATTGCCCTTAATTCCTTGAGTTCTTTGACCGGCCTGGCTTCGATGGCGATCTCGCAAATGCTTCCCCGATGTCATGCATGAAGTTTAAAATTATTGGTGCAATTATCTGATGAACCTCTTCATTAGGCGAGTCAGAGCATATCGTAAGAAAAAATCGGAATGGCGCAAATGTAGGTGTGGTTAGTACGGCTCCCCCCTCGCCCCACCTCGCCCCTCCCCCTTCCCTGCATGAAGCACGATCATTTGGGAAGAAGTATTAGATTTCGCACCAAATATTAAGTTAAAATTTTCTTTCATAACGTAATTCCTACCCGATTTTGAACTGTGCGGGTTCTGATTCAGAACGTCACGTATCTGTTAAAGCTGCACGTTAAAATATGCCCTGGTTCGTGCGCTAACAGCAAAAATTCTTAAAGCGAATGATTTGAGTTAATGTGGAGGCATGAAGGGCGTCCCGATATCTTCCCGCCGCAAGCGGGGGAATTTCCCTTATGATGGGGGGAATCTCCATCGTGGCAATAGAACCTGGAGAGCCGCGGACGAGTATGGTAAATTGGCTTTGGGATCTCCGGCACATGCGACGG